GGCTGTGAGTTAGAGTTTTTTCTTCTATTTTTAATCAGTATGGCCTCATTAGTTTCTTTTATTTAATGGGTCACAATCTATGACTATCATTATTTTGATGCTCAAGTTGTCCTAGATTTGGCCAGTGGAAGGACTTTCAAACTGGGTCCTGTATCCTTTTGACATGTTCCCATAATTTTTAAGGCATTTGCCCACTTTATGGGGCATAAGATATATCAAACTTGTACTTTCCCTGCCCTTGCCCTGCAAGCAGCCATTTCTTTAAAGACCCCTCTTTCCTTTTAGTGGAAGATGATATTTAGTAACCAATATCTAGGTCCTAGATGTGATCATTGCTAATAGATTGTCATTGCTACTAGGTCCTCTCAGGAGGCAGAGCTAAGAAATAAATGTATGCATATACATATATATGTACAGAAATCTCATCTATCTATCTATCTATCTTAGATACTGTGCATTCACATCAATACCTCCAAATCTAGTTCAACACCACTGGGTTTCCATATTTGTAACTATTCTGAGAATGAAGAACCTTACTCCAATTATCTCCAAATATATTTACTTATTTGTCGATCTCTGTGTTTAATCAATATAAATAAGATGCATCTTCCTTTTTTTCCCCTCTTGAGAGTTTACTGTTAAACTAAAGCAGTAATTCCCTTCACACACAGAGCACATTGATTTCAATGAACTCATTTTGGAGGTCACAACATAGATGGAGCAGAAGATATGAACTTGGGCCCTGGAAGCAGACCTAGGCTCTAGTCCTGGCAGTGTACTTACCAGTTGTGTGATTTTCAAAGAATTCTTTACCTCTCTAAGTCTCAGAGGATAATAGTATCAACCTCAAGAGTGTGTTGTGAGGATTAAAGGAGTTAAAGGAGCTAATGTATAATAGCTGTTAACACAGTGACGAGCACATAGTAAATACACAATGAATGAGAGCTACTTTAACTATAATTGTATTTTCTACTTAATATAGGAAATTTTCTCTAACTTTCTAGGCCAGGATACAATTTTGGAAAGACAATTACCAATAAGCTTCAAAATTCATTAAAGCTTAGAGATAAGACAAATCGTAAAAACATTTTTATTACTCATATCTCCATATGAGAGAAAGAAACTGTACTTAGCACATAAAAACCTATTCATACCTGACTTTCTTGGTCTCTGTTGAACATAAAGGGAAAATTGTGCTCGATGTTACATCATCTTTTTCTGATCTGGAGTAATCATCTACCTTGAGTCAAAATCGGTTGATGAATTGCCTTTTAAAGACCTTCAGGGAATTCCCTGGCGGTCCAGTGGTTAGGACTCAGCGCTTTCACAGATGTGAGTCTGGATTCAATCCCTGCTCGGGGAACTAAGATCCTGCAAGCTGCGTGGCGCAGCCAAAAAAACCTCCCCAAACAAAAAAACCTTCATCAGCTTTTATGAGGAAACAAAAGCTTTTGAGCATGCTCTGTGCATTAGATATGAATGTGATCGGAGTAGAAATGAAGATGATGAGAGCAGGACCATAAAGGTAGACTTTATTTCAAAAGGAGTGGCCAGCAGTTAGCGAGAAATAGTGGACATAAGACAACAAATGAGTACGTACATACTTGTTCAGGTTCCCAGATGCCTACGCCCCGTATTTTTTATGTTCTCCCACTGATATGATAGAGGAATACAGGTAGCAAAAGGTGGATAACAGGCAAACCATAATCAGAAAAGCTTCCTGGCAGAGCTGCGGGCATGGGGTGGATTTTTCTGTCTTGAGGATCTGAGTGGGGACTAGACATGCATAATCCCACAACAGGCAAACTCAAGGAACGGGCAGACAAAAGCTCAGAGTTAAGACACTACTCCGTTGCTTTCCTTTTGTATTAGCCTGTGTGACATTCAAACCGAGTGAGCCTTCAAAGTGAGTCAACCGTGTCTGAACTTTCAATCTTCTGAGGCAAAAGGTGCTTCACCAGCAGCGTGCAGCCGCAAGGGCAGCAGCAAACAGAAAAGAAAGAGTTCAGAAGTTGTGTAAGAGGGAAACCTGGAGACTGAATGTGGAATGCAAAATAAAAAAAGAATATCTGATGTCTGAAGCGTGGATGACTGAAATGGTGGTGGGATAAAAGACAGGGATGTCTAGAGGTAGAGCTGATTGGGGGAAGGAATGATAAGGTTGATTTTAGACATGGTGAGTGTGAAGTACTGGCAGGATGCACAAGTGGTATCAGCTGACAGGCACATGGACCAAGAGAACAGCCTTAGGAGGGAGGGCAGGGCTGGAAATTAAGATTTGTAAATTGGGCTAGGAAATCAATGTGGGTATGATTGCTATTCAAGGCAATTTCGGGGGAAAGGGATGATGATTTAGGGTAAAATCATATTGGGTGGGGTGCTGGGAAGAAAAGGAAGACTCAGTTAAGAGGATAGAGCTGGGGCTGAGGAGGGCCAGGACAGCGGCAGGGCCACAGGAACTGAGGAGGATCCTGGGGGCTGTCTTTTTTTTTTTTTTTTAACATCTTTTATTAGAGTATAATTGCTTTACAATGGTGTGTTAGTTTCTGCTTTATAACAAAGGGAATCAGTTATACATATACATATGTCCCCATACCTCTTCCCTCTTGTATCTCCCTCCACCCCACCCTCCCTATCCCGCCCCTCTAGGTGGTCACAAAGCACCAAGCTGATCTCCCTGTGCTATGCGGCTGCTTCCCACTAGCTTTCTATTTTACGTTTGGTAGTGTATATATGTCCATGCCACTCTCTCACTTTGTCCCAGCTTATCCTTCACCCTCTCCGTATCCTCAAGTCCATTCTCTAGTATGTCTGCATATTTATTCCCATCTTGCCCCTAGGTTCTTCTGACCTTTTTTCTTTTTTTCTTTTTTTAGATTCCATATATATGTGTTAGCAAACGGTATTTGTTTTTCTCTTTCTGACTTACTTCACTCTGTATGACAGTCTCTAGGTCCGTCCACCTCACTACAAATAACTCAGTTTTGTTCCTTTTTATGGCTGAGTAATATTCCATTGCATATATATGCCACATCTTCTTTATCCATTCATCTCTGGGGGCTGTCTTAACATCCAATCCACCATGAGTCTAGGATGCCTTTCTGCAGTGTTAAGACTGAAAACTACATTTCCCAGATTTCCTTGCAACCAGAGGGTCTGGATGTGATGCAGGTTCTGAGAATCGGGTGATGTGAGTGAGGCTTGAAAGATGTAGATAGCACTTTTGGGCTGCTTCTGCTGGCAAGAAGGTCATGGGACTGTTGGCTCCCTCTGCCCTTCCTGGCCAGTGTTCAGCATTCCCACATCAGCTTCCCGAGGGACAAGAGGCAAAGGCCTGGGAATCCATGTTTTGCTTGTGTGGCTCTAGCAGAAAGTTCCGTTGTGGTGGCTTCCTGATCTCTGGATCTCAGCAAAGGCAATATGTTCAGTGGTTCCAGAGGCGGCTTCCTGAATTCTCATCTTCCTGAGTGGAAGAGGTAGTAGCTCTCCTAGTGGGTTCTATCTGCTGTGATCTGGGAGTCATTCCTGAGGGCCCAGTCTAGAGCATGCTCTTCAGTCCTTCCAACAATTTTAACAGTGTTTAAATCCCCCTCTGCTGAAAATACTGTGGTGGTTTCTGTTGTCCGCAACTGACCTCTAATTTGATACAAAATCCACTGGAGAAAGGATATTCCAGAATAAAGGGCTAATCAATAATTCAAAAGCTGTCAAAAAGTCAAGATGAGGATTTTATGCATGCATGCCAGCATCCATCCATTATAACAATTAACATTGCAAAGTCCCTAATGGGTACCAGGTACCACACTGGACATTTGGGAATACTGTACAAAGATGAATAAAAGTCTTTCCCCTCAAGGATTCAGTCTAGTGGGGGAGAGAATCATGAATATAAATGTAATAGATTGTGGCAAGCACAATGATAGAGGCATATTCAGAGAGTTAGCATTAGAAAAGAGGAAGGGCACCTAACCTAGAGTGAGACTCTGGGAGGAAAGTAGGTTTCTTGAAGGGAGAAACACAAGCTAAATATTGAAGGATGAGTCTTTTTATTTAGTTAATAAATACCGAACGCTTACCATGGGTTAAGCATGGTGCTAAGATCTTTATATGCTAGACCTCATGGAATCCTCCAAACATTCACATGAAGTGGAGAGTATTATTAGCAGAGGCAACAGCATTAGCAAAGGCAGGGATGAGAAACACTGTTCCAGTTGACACCTGAAGATAGGGCCCCATCTCCCACCCTCTGCAAGACGGTAGGAGCCCAACTTGGATAAGACAACAAACCCAGATGAGTTTCACATGGACCAGCACCTCTCTTCCAGCTTTTTGTAGTTTTTTACCTCTCTGGCCTGCTCAGCCTCCTTATTCCCTCATTCTCCCCTTAAAACTCTGTTTTAGATTTGCTTTTATCATAATATACCACCAGGTACTGATGTTATGCAGGAGGAAACGTATAGCCTCAGCTGCCAGCTTTTACTGGAAGGTATCTACCAAATGAACTTGTGACTAGCGATTAAATTGGCCTAAAGCAGACTGCAATGTTGTGGGAAAGGAAACTAAAAGCCCGTGCACCCTCCTTCTGTGGAGAGGGTCATATTTGATCCCTGAGACCTTCCCTTAGTGCCTACTGAGTACCTCTTTAAGATCAGTAGGTGAATACTGATCTTCAAGGGCTGGACAGAAAGCATTCTAGCCATCGTAAAGGTCAAGGTCATCCTCTGGCAGTGTAGTTAACAAAACAGAGTTAACAATTTTCTACCACTTCTAATTAAAACTTGATTACTTAGAGGCATTCAGTTTGCTCATGATTGCTTAAGTTAAATATAAATGAATAAAGGAAAACCTAGCCAAAACAGAACTCCTGCTCTAAATTTTAAATCAACCTATTCTGTATGCCTGTTCAGAGGAAGCTGGTTGAGGTTAAATGAAGAACAATTTGAAAACTCAAGAATCAACCTAAGTGAAGTTATAACATATGAGAAACCTAAAGGTAAAAATATGTCATACACATTTTATTTGGTGTTTCATGCTAGGTCGATTAAAAAAAAAACAATTTGGTTGAACAGATTTTTCTTTTAATATGACTATGTGTACATGGACAACTGAGAACAGGGAAAAACCCCAAATTAATGTTTTTAACAAATTACAGCTGTTACTAAAGACGGTATGCTTGGATTTTAAGGAAATGGTCCAATAAATGAACAGTCCCGCATTCAATCTAGATTAATCAATCCCACTTTGAATAAAAACACATTCGAGTGGCAGAAGTTTACCTTTTTTAAACACTCCATAATAAAAAAATGCGTTCCCTCAGTGTTCTCTCTCCTTCAGTATTTAGTTATTAGTAGTCTCTCAAATGGTAAAATAAAATTGAATTTATATTATCAAATGAAAGTGCAAGTTTGTACAGCCAAGCTCAGCAGCGAAAGTGAAGAAGGATGAAGGGTGAAAGCTGATGGATGCCACGCAGAACAAGGACCTTCACGAAGGTATCATCCTGCCATGTCCTGGGTGCCAAACACAGTCCACATTCCATCATTTTTTCATTGCTCTTAAACGAGCAAAACCAAATTCTCTTTTTTATTTAAAGAAATATTAAATCTTTATTCTCCCCCACCTCCAAATAATTTGTGATCAGGTAAGGCAAAGGTAAGTCCCACCATCACTGGGGACAGCAGCAATAAACAGACTTCAGAAATAGCCCTGAATCATCAACAACATTCTCTCATGGTAACATAAGGAATGCATCTCATAAATCAAATTCTGCAACGTTGTCACATTGTTCTAATTTATTTGATTAGTTTATCTGAAAAAAACTTTATAAATACATTATTTAAGAGGACAGTAAATTATTTTCTTGCTCTGAAAAAATAATGTTCTTTTTTTTCACATTTTAAAACTGTTGAGTATGTTTTGCAAAAGGAGATGCAAGAAGAATGGGACAGTGGGGTTTGCAGAATGTCCATGTACAAGTTGCATTTACAAGAACCTGGTAATCTGCCTCTACAAATAGAGCTCTTTGCAATATAATATTTAAACAAACAGGCTTAATTTAAACATCTCTCCTATTCACTCTACTTGTTGAACCAAGAGGTACTTATATTTCAAGTATTACACTGTAAAAGGTAAAAATTTTTGTGCCAATTTTACATGTTAGCTTTTAAAGTCCAAAATATCTATGTGAAAAATCATGCCTACTCGTCCCATTTCTTTTACAGCCAAATGCTCTCATCTTTTAGAGAATGCAGAAAAATATTGATTTCCTAAGAAGGAGCACACTGGAAAAAGCTATTTTAAAGTACTGAAGAACAAGGGAGGATTTCTTTTTCTCTATTGGCGAAAATTATTAGAAAAGCTATCCAGTCTGTTGTCTTTAGCTGGTTTTAATAAAGTCTTTTCAAAATGATGGTCAAGAAACCTTTAGAAAACTGGGGAAGGGGAGATGCTCCTTTGTAGCATGGAAGGAATTCCATTAATTGTAGAAATTCTTATTAAATTTCTGCTTTGGTTCTTTAGAAGAAATGCTCATATAACTTCTATATTAGGAGACAGAAAAAAGAACAGATTAATATGACATTTATCTAAAATCTTAAAGAATACTACAGTAATATCTTACATTCCTAAAACTTTACCATGCTTTTATATACATTGTCTTATATAAGAACAGGCAATTTTATCAGGATCCGTGGTCTTATATGTAAGTGAATTCTACCACTAATAGGAAAACATGTCCTTTTCTTTAACTTAGGCTATATATCATTTCCTTTTCCAAACTGCGTTAAGTCAACTGTACTTTTCTTTGAGAACAGGGACTTTACATTCATTTGTCTTGAATCCTCAGTCCCCGATACTTCGGGTTCCAGCCATACGTTGGAGGTTACATAAATGTTGGTTGATAAGTAGTCATGACCACAAAAGAAACCTAACACCACTTAATATCACAGACACTGGACTATGTTCCTAGAGAAGGTATGGAAGAGTGAGAATGAAATGACAGGTACATCAAAAGGTGATTTAAAGCCTGGCGAATGAAGCAGGAAGTCATCTGAATGTTCCTTCCATCTCTCTGAATCTGTGACGTGACAAAGCAGGAAGCTGTACCAGGAATGTTTCCGCCAACACACAGGTAATCAGATTGTTCTCAAAGGCTTAAGAGTCAGAATGTCAGGCTTTATAGCTTCCACTGACAGCTGGACCTTCTTCCTTTTACAATCTAGAAAAGTAGATCACTAAAGGGAAGTTACACTCCCCAGGTCAGTATATTAGAGAAGGAAAAAAGACTAGCTTCATTTGGATAGGAGGTTCAAAGTTGGCTTTTTCAACCAGTTTTAAAGTGGGAAATATGTTAAAAGTGCACAGATGGAATCTAAATGACAAAACAATTTGACCACAAATAATGCTTTACCGACTCATCTATAAACATCCTGAATTTGCTTGGCTCTCTTCATAACAGTATAAAAAGATGCTGGTCAATACATGAAAGTGAGGTGCTGGGAGAGAAGCTGATAGAAATCAAAGAGGTTTGAAAAGACATGGAGCTGGATTATCCCACTTGTTCTTGACACTGATGGGACTGTGCTGTTGAGTTACTATGAGCACTGCACTGGTAATTTTTTTATGTTGTTATTTCTCTGGGTCCTGTAAAGCTATCGTTCTTTTTGCACAATGACTTCAGGTTAAGTGTGAGTTCCAGAGACAGGGTATAAGAGAGTCACTTGCAGTTTCAACAGCTACGGTCACTCAACAAGGGATGGAAGGCCCTTGGGCTCAGTATGCTCCTAGTCCGGAATATTAGTCGCATTACCTTAAATTGTAACTATCTTATTACATTTAAAAAGGACAACAGTATATCATCCCAGGTTGCTAAACCCAAATGAGAGAAAAATGGTGGGAGAACATGTTGGCAGTCTTAAAATGTCTGAAGAACTGAGAAAGATGGAATAGAAACCAAACAAACCTTTTCTCTAGTGGACAGACTGGGTTCAATGGCCACTCAGTTATGGTCTTCTGTCTTAATATGAAGCGTGATCTGGGCACGCAATATGAAGCACTGCCACTGGGCAATGAGTGCCGCTCCGTGAGGAGAGGCCCATGGATACCCAGTGGGTGCTGCGGACCGAATTTCTACACTGAGTGGCAGAACAAGAGCGGCCCTAGAAGTTGCCCAACCCAACTCAAAATTGAACTGCTAATGACCCATGCACAATCTCTTCCACGTGGCTTATTTGGTCCCTTGAAGGACAAAGTGTGCCACAGTCACACAGCAGAAGGTTCATTCCCTCTTGGGTGTCACATATTTATTTCTGATGATTACTGAAGGGAGTTCGAGGCAAGCTTACCTGCTGTTTGCTGTGTTTGAACACCATCTACCTGAGGCAGGGTCCCAAGTGTCCCTTCATCACCAAAGGCCAAAATAGGATTCAAAGGAATGTCTGGACTCTCGCTGTTGGTGACCTCTAATCTGGATGGTTTAGATCCAATGGGTAAATTTATAATTTCTTCAAAATCTTCATTCTGAACTGATATTCCATTTTCATTTGGTTGTTTTTCCAAATTGGGAGTACTACGGAGTTTGAAACATCAAAATCAAAAGGAGTTAGTATTAAAACTGGAAAACATTTTTAGGACAAACTGTTTTATAATAAATACTTCTATAATCTTACAATCGAAATGTTAGAATGATTGACCTCATCATTACTAACAAAAATGGTGAATTCTGACATATTTGTACTTTAAATTCTTATTTAAAAAAACAGCTTTTAAAAATAAAACTTATCAAGTGGACCAAGTTATCAATTAGAATAGATCCTCATCATCAACAGTTCTACATATATTTAACATGCCTGTCTACTGCAGGCATTTTATATCTCTTTGTCTTATAAAGAGTAGCCCTTATTAGGATCTGTACTTCAAAGATGAGGAGATTGTGGGGGGGATAATTTGCACAAGTCACACAACTACTGGGAGACAGTCCAGATTGAATGCGTGATCTCTGGTCCTATGTTTTTCTCATAATCCCATTTTTTATAGTCCCAGCTATTCAAATTCCAGCCCTTCCTGGGTGTCTCCAGCTTCCTAAAACATGTGCATAATTTTATAGGTAAATTGTTGAAGACCAACCTTCTCATCTTTGCCCCTTAAATCTGCCTCTGACCCCACCTTATTCTTATTAATTCATGGTTAATATCTTGGATTTTTGAGCTACATTTTTTAAAAAATAATTTATTTTATTTATTTATTTTTGGCTGTGCTGGGTCTTCGTTACTGCATGCAGGCTTTCTCTAGCTATGTTGAGCGGGGGGCTACTCTTCGTTTCCGTGCGCGGGCTTCTCACTGCAGTGGCTTCTCGTGTTTCAGAGCACGGGCTCTAGGCTTACAGGCTCAGTAGTTGTGGTGCATGGGCTTAGTTACTCCAAGGCATGTGGGATCTTCCTGGACCAGGGCTCGAACCCGTGTCCCCTGAATTGGCAGGTGGATTCTTAACCACTGTGCCACCAGGGAAGCCCTTCGAGCTACATTTAACTGGCCAACAAATTCTTAGTTTCTACCTATAGTTTCTCTTAGGGTTTTTTTTTTGGCTGCGTTGGGTCTTCGTTGCTGTGCGTGGGCTTTCTCTAGTTGCGGCGACCGGGGGCTATTCTTTGTTGTGGTGCGCAGGCTCAGTAGTTGTGGCTCGTGGGCTCGGAAGTTGTGGCGCACGGGCTTAGTTGTTCCACGGCATGTGGGATCTTCCCGTACCAGGGATCAAACCCGTGTCCCCTGCGTTGGCAGGCAGATTCTTAACCACTGCACCACCAGGGAAGTCCCTCTCTTAGGTTTTTCACTCCCTTTACACACTCCGTAACCAAATAGGCAGCCCGTTAGGTTATATGTTCATTATTATGCTTTACAATGCAGCAAAACAATGCCTGTGCACCAAATGAATGCTAGATTAATTTTATTGTTCACTTGATCTGACTGCAGCAGTAAACATATTTGCAAACTTCATAATTTGTTCAGTGGCTCATGTATAAAAAATGACCCTATTTGACAAAATTCTAGAGTTAAAATTTTCAAATGGAAAATATTAATAAGACTAAAAATGTGAAACAAAAATCATGATGATTTTAACTTCTAATACACACTCATCATAAACAATGTTTACCTGTAGACAGAGATCAGAAAGGCAGGTCTCTACTGTCAGTAATGCCAAAAATTGACCTTTCGTAAGTTAGTCTTTTTCCGTCTCCTTCCCAAATGGTGAAAATGAAGCTAGTAGACATCTAATCTTTCCATTTTTTTTTTTTTAAGGAATCTTTGCTTTTTTTTTTTTCCCTATAGAGGAAATAGTTTACTTTCCCCAGTCAGTGAGATACATTGATTTGTGGAACATATTCTAAAACATTTCTGATTTGGGTATTATGGTATTTTTTGTTAATTATTAAACCCTTTCTTCTAGAAAAAAAATAAAGATGCCTGACCTAAGTGCTTCACAAGGTATTGCAGGGTATGTTGAAAATATTATTTGTAAAAGTGACGTGGAAGAGAACATAAAAATATTATACAGATTCAGACTACAACGGTGCGTTTCCGCTATTTCACTAAGGAGGGGAGAAGAGGCTCGGCATCACGGTAGCCTACATTAGCGCGTGTGCACTCGCACACACACCCCGTCCTAATACCCGCCGTTATAGTGCTTGCGCTGCCACGCCCTTCCTCCTGCTCTTTCCCAGTACCAATGGGCTTTCTGTAATCAGGGGAAGAGTTTTGGTTCCCATCCCAGAGAGATTTTTAAGTAGAAGTTTTGGCAAAAGAAATGCATCTTCAAAGCCCTTGTTCCTTGACCATGTCAACTCCTGTCACCTTCCAGGCCTGCGTGTGCTGACAAGCTGCAATGGCAACGCCAACCCCAGGCTTGAATCAACAGCTGACCTCATTTCCCCTCCCACTCTTACCCAACCACCCCGCCCATTCTTAATTCTTAGCCATTAGAGGAATAATCATGCCCTATGCTCTGGATGAACAATTAGTAAATGTTCAGAGGACACTGTGACCAGCAGAAACTATAAAACTGAAGCTGAAGTTGCTGGGGTTAGGGTTTATGGATCTGTGTGTCCTCTTAAGATACAAGTATTGGCTTTTGAATTCCCCTTCTTTGGCTACTCTCTGGAGGTTGAAGTTGGATGCAAGACTCTTGAAGATATGTTTCAGGTTCTTATACAATGATTAATCACTTGATTTTACCACTGAAGAGAGTCAGCTAAAGTATAAGCTAATTGTATTCCTCAGAGAGAATTATCAGTGGCTTAAAAAACCTATCCCTTGTTATAATAATGGGGTTCTCTGTGGTACTTTTTATCCTTTTCTAAAAATCTCTGACATCAATGAACTAAATGCCATAAATTATAGTAGTTGGAAATGAGTATTTTATTTGAAAATCAAACTATAACTAAAAAAATGAAATATCACTTAATATATCTCTTGGGTAATTATGACAATAAATTTATTAAACATAATCAAACGCTTATTAAAATCTCTCTTAGGAAAATTATTTTCTTTGGTATTATACTGGGCAAATTAAAAAAAGTTTTTACTGTCCCAGACAGATATACATAGATACCTTATGACTTATAGTTATCTTAGGATGTCCATCTTAGGACAACTTGTCTTTTCATGGCTTCCAACAATATAAAATGTTGTATAGTATGTGTTTTTAGATTAAGAAAAGAATTTATGTATATCAAATCATTATGCCATATACCTTAAACTTATACAGTGCTGTATGTCAATTATATCTCAGTAAAACTGGAAGAAAAAAGATCTTAGATCTTAAAAGACATTTTTCTATCTATTAAAAAAGTTAATCTGAGGAGCTTCAATTCTCTTATGGTAGCAAAGACTCTGGCATTAGAGACAGAACTCATAATTCAGTAAATTCTGATAATTAAAAAGTTGCAGCTGAAAAATTTGAACATTATTATAAATATTTCTACAAGTTCTCTATGACTGGATTTCTAGGCACAGGCTATGATTACCCTTAATTTTCAGTTTTGAGAGCACTCTTACAACGCTGTCAGTATAAATGCAAGGGAACAGGAAGGCAATCTTTCTTTAACCCACACTTCTTAACTATTGTTAGCAACCATCTGTTTCCTCAATAAGAAGCTCTACTACTAGTAAAAGAAATATTGGCATCTAAATTACTTTTACTGAGGAACAAACCTGTGACTCACTATAATATTATATACAGTGAAAATACAGCTGCTGTATATCATCAAAGGGTGTGAAGATGGTCCAGGGTCATGCCAAATACATACAAAGGAAAGTATCAAATTATTCCCTGTAATTTTGTTTGATAGCCACACAAAAACCTCACCATCATATTTAGAGATTCAAGAAAAAAAGACATTTTCCTTTTCTCAGATTACAGAGTTACTAGCTCTACCAAACATTAATGAACCTAAATAAATCTTCATGTTAAAACTCAAATTCTGTCTGGCCCCAGAAAATTCTGGTGGGATTGGTGGGCCAAAAACAGTCGTGCTTTGCTCTAATGTGCATCAGTAAGAAAGGCCGCAGTTGTCTCACTCACCTCTCCACAGTCACTTCTGATTGGTGTGAGGCAACCACATGGGGGCTGGCTGCTGGTTCTCCTTGTCCTGGAGAGTTTGTCATATTTGGAAGTGCAGATACCGCTGGACATGGCAAAGAAGATGAAACAAAGGGTTACTACTACTCGACTATCAAACCCAAACCCCAGGAGCCAGAATGCCTGGATTTATGTCCTGGCTCTGCTAGTTACCAGCTGTGTGACCCTGGGCAAGCCACAAACGCTCCGTGCCTCAGTTTCCTCATGGATAGTAATAGTACCTAACTCATAGGCTACTGTGAGAATTAAATGTATCAACACATGCAAAGTACTTAGAACACTGCCCAGCACATTGTAAGGGTGGAAATCAGTGCTGTGATTATTTCTGCTTGCATCACATTGACTTTGGACAAAAAAGTATGTAATACTGAAACCAAAGCAATTGATGCAGATAACAGCAAGTTGATTTGGTCAGGCCGATGCTGAACAAATTATTACTGAAGGCTTTGGAGCAAATCACCAAGAAATACCCTAAGTGATGAAAAATATTTTGGAAAATTCAGTTTTAGTCCCACTTAAGAATGGTAGGGATTTCATGCATGGAAGGCCAGTGAATTGTACCTAACTGTGCTACCTAGTCATTCAATATTCCCCACTGGAGTCTAGTGTGAGCAAACAATATGGATGACTGACTTTAAAATCTGGGCCAGGTTTACGTAAAATCTTAAGAAGAAGAGACTAATAACTTAAAAGCTGCCAACATTTGCAAAGCTGGTAATAGGAATCTTCTGAGAAGACTTCTGATAGGTCTGCAAACTTGCCTGCCTGCCCAGCCTAGAATTCTCTTGGGAGCACTGGTGATACCATTCAGTCCTCAACCAAATGTGGGACCAGGAGAAGAGGAACATACGTTAGATAATCCTCAGGCCTCGTTTTAGCACTATTAACTCAAACCAAATTTATTATGAGAGTTGATAAACACAGGTGTGATGACTGACAAGTTACACCTTCCTTCTGGCCATTGTTCATTCTCGAATTGAGGTACAAAGAATAATCGAAAGAATTGATAGGGGAATAGCAGGAAGACACATGGAAAAACAAAAAAACCAACAAGGAGCCTGGCCATGTACAAACTACAGCATCGGCTCCTCAAATAATCCTGGGTTGGTGTAATTTACATTCTAAAATGCTCATTCTGATGACTTACTGGGTGCCATGCCTGCTTTAAGCCTGAATGTATCACAACATTCTTGGAGGCAACCTGTTAAAAATGCAGTGGGGTTAATATGCAACCATTAGGCTATTCTCCAAACAAATATAATTAGGGCATCTTTAAAAGAGAATGAAAAGCCCCACACTGAAGGGATTATGACATAGAGGAACTCGGATAGCCTCTACTGAAGTAAAACCAAATCCCCAAATACCAGTATTTTACATTTGAAAACCCCAGAACAGAGAATGTTCTTGCACATAAATCATCTCATTTGATCTTTACTCCAGTCTACAATAAACAGTAAAAGAAACTGAGGTATCTCTGGTCCTTTCTTTTCATATTGATACTGCAGATGAGGAAAGAGGAAGACTGAATAATGAATTATCGACCAACCACCTGTATGTACAATCATGAAGACCACGTGGAATCACGGAAGGAGCCAAATTACAAGCTGGTGACTTGGACTCCAGCTGTACGAGCTGGGCCTGTCACTCAATCTGAGTTCTCCTCGGGGGTAGGGACCTCGGCTGACCTGCTCACACTGAATCCTAGCACCTACAAAAGGGCCTGGCACACAAAAGTTTTCTGAAAATGCCTGCTTACTCCAAGATAAGGCATCTCCTATCTCACAGGCCTGCAATGGAAATTAAACAAGAAAATGTATGCAGATGTATCTGACACAAAGAAGGCATTTAATAAATATTAGTTGAGTGTGAGTACTAAAATACTAAGATAAATTTTACTTTTATATACACCAAATTTGGTTTAAAATCACCAAGAAATTAATCATCTTTGTCCAAAGCCTATGGCATATGAACAACTTTCTAATGAAATTTCAACAAATTTCAAATTTTAACTCTATTCTGAAGTCAGAACTAAAAGAAATAACATTTAAATCCTTTTCTGAGAAATGCCATAAGTACAAGTTGTCAAAATGTTTAAATTTAATGTCCTTAATAGCAAATATAAACACAGATTCCTTTAGCAGATAGTAAATGACAAATGAAATTTAATTTTATAAACTCAAAGAAAATTCTTCTAATCGTGTGTGTATATACACAGATACGTGTGTATACATATCTATAGAGGCATACATACACATAGATATATAGAGAGACATATATATGATATAAAATGACTTAAGATATTAAATACTCCATTAGAGTATAAACAAATGTGAAAAAAATCTGCTAGAAATGCTAGAGATTTTTAGATAAAGGGGATTATTTGTGGACTAGATGAGAAACACCTAAGCTTCTGTGAGTCAATGAGTATTTTTATTTTAAATCAATGTTTATCTTGACCTCCACAGAATAAATTAAAAAATTTTATATTTGTATTGATTTGAGTTCACTGAAATAAGTACCTGTTTCTCTAATGAGCGCTCCCTTGGTTATATCTCCATTTCTCTGATCAACGGTTTTCTAACAAAGAAAAAAAAAAAAAAAGATTTATTAATAAAAAACAAACAAACGAAAGTAAAAAAAAAGCCATTAAGAATAGTTAAAAAAAAGGCCATCTCAATACCTTATCTGAAGCTTCTGTTCTTCTGGTTCTTTTCATTATCTCCTCAAGCCGCTACAAAAAAGGCAGAATTGAGCAAACACATCAGATATGGAAAGAAAGCTAGCCTGGCGCATTTCACTGACTAAGCAAATAGCAGGGCATTGAAACATGTCCATTATTTTGGGAAAATATAATTGTCTTTGTCTTAACTGGAGTTACTCAAAGAAGTTGAAATTGGCTTAAGCCGCATGAATTGCAAGCAACTGTTTTTGGTGAAGCCTGAAACACCAAGAGCTATTTCTTTGGAGGAGAACATTAATACTGAGAGCTACTTTAGTTAACCTGGAATGGGCAGGACACTTTTGTTTTCTGATGGCAGTGAGCTAGTCTCTTGGTCTGGAGCCGGCTTCAGTCTAGGCAGAATCAAGAGCAGCAAGGGCGCCAGGCTGCGGGGGCAGAGACGCAACTACCTTCTTCCTCTCCAGGCGCTCCTGCTCTTCTCTCTGGAAATGCTTCTCCCGTTCCTGCCGGACCCTCTCTGCTTCTTCCCGAACACGAGCTTCTTCTTCTTTCTGAAAACGGGAAGTCGGTATCTGCTTCTTACACACAGGCCGTCTTTGCCCGCTGCCCTCAAGGTCCCGGGGCGCCCGAGGACGGAGAACGCGAGGACCACGAGCGCACACGGGGGAGACACAAGCACTCCTAACCACACGCTCAACAGCTTCCTCTTCCCATCTGGGCTGCCCCTTGCCCCATCTTGAGCCAAGGCTGTGCCGACCTGCTTCCCGGGCGGGAGCCGGCCCCCCGCTACCTGTTTCTGGATGCGCTCCATCTCCTCCCGCTCGCGCCGGGCCCGCTCCTCCTCCTGCCGCCGCAGCTGCTCTTCCCTCTCCCTGGCTTGCCGAGCTTCCAGCTGGCGGGCTTCCTCCTCTCGGCGGGTTCTCTCTTCAGCCACCCTTTGGGCCAATTCTTCTCGCTTTTGTCTGGAAAAAGACAAAACAAGACGAAGATACGTGAGGGGACTTCCTTGGCAAGGCGCGATCGAGTTTGTGGTTACCGCGAGAACAGTTTGTTGGGAGGTCTGGCCGACAGCATCCACTGATCCACGTGAGGCCACCCTCTCTCCTTCCTCCTCCCCTTCCAGCCTCCCGTTGCCTCGTGGGAAACAGACGCAGAATGTATCCACTCATATTCTGAGGAGAGCTTGTTTTCTTTCTTTCTTTTTTTTTTTTTTTTTGCGGTACGTGGGCCTCTCACTGTTGTGGCCTCTCCCGCTGCAGACCACAGGCTCTGGACGCGCAGGCTCAGTGGCCATGGCTCACGGGCTCAGCCGCTCCGCGACATGTGGGATCTTCCCGAACCGGGGCACGAACCCGTGTCCCCTGCATCGGCAGGCGGACTCTCAACCACTGCGCCACCAGGGAAGACCCTGTTTTCTTGTTTTTTTTTTTTAAAGGATCTGAAATATAACTATCTTTAAAGGCTGAGATCTGTTTAATCCAATAATGTGACTTTTTAGTAACGAATTTAACGCTCCCCTCCAAATCTCTGTAAGTAAATAAAGGTTATAATGTTCTGTTTCAGTACAGGGACAAGATGGACCATGTAAGCTCCCTGTTGGGACCAAGGGTAGGGCATGTCCAAGATGGCGGCCCAGCACTGGGGCTGCCGTCCTTTCTGGAGAGGCAGTTCTGCTTATTTGAAGAACAATTATATTGACATTAGCCTTATTAGCTCCAGAAGGAGGGCAACTAAGCAAACTGCCCCTGGCATACTGTCTGGCAGGCAGTCATGGGGCACTTAACTATCTCACGCAGCTACCCTCTGAGAGGAATACTATCTGGAAGAAAACATGAGCTGTTAATATGCAGCTTTAAGATAATGAGAAAGATAATGAGGAAACATGGAGATGAGAGATACGTTAAATAAAAAATTAAGACTGCACAACTGTACCTCTACTGTGGTTACAATTATGCAAATCTATGTGTGTATGTGTATATACACCCACACACTGTTCAGAGACTGGAAAGGGTGAACCAAAATGTACACAATTATTGAAATCTGGTAAGAATATGGATGATTTTTTTTTTTCTTTAAACCTTTCTCCCCAGTCCTTCGAAAACAAAACAAAAAACCCCTTCTCCATCAATTTTGTTGCACTGTCATTATAATAAGAAAATGTGGCTTACAAAAGTCGCTTAGTGCTCAGGGGAACACCAGGGGAGACTAATTCTGAAACAACTAAATAGATTCACCTTCAACACTACTATTACCTCTTCTCCCTGACTGCAGGCTTAATCCAAGGTGTCACTAGGGTGTCACTGAGCAGTGTCACTCCTTTACCTTTCGAGCTCTTTCGTCTCCCTCTTCTCCCTTTCGTCCTTCTCTCTCTGCTCTCGGGCCAGCCGCCTCTTCTCAGCTAGCAGCCTCGTGGCCTCTTCCGGGTCAGTGGTGCCCGCAGAGGTCTTCAGAGAAGCGATGGCAGTCACAGTGGATGAAGGGGCCGGAGTGGAGGCTGGAGCGGAGGCCGGTGCTGAGGCTGCCTCCGGAGCAGCTGTACAAACAAGTACAAGGAGAAAACCAGTTGGAAACAAAAGCCAAAGAACAACACAAAAACTAGCATCCCCCGCACCCCAGGCCTCGAATTCATCGCTATAAAAGAAAAGGGAATGTTTATTACTGCGCGTTCTCACGGTTTCACTGTATTCTATCTGTAACCGGGCAACAGATAACAAAAAGCCGCGTGTGTAAGTGAGACATCCGAAGCTGACACTCTGTCACCAAGCCTTATTTTTATACAAGTTAAATCAGTTAACAACATATATCGAATGTGTACTAAGTATAGAGCCTCATGTTAGGTTCTGTGGGAAGTTATACCCCAGGAAAAAGGAAGATGAGATCTTCCATTTGCCTTTCATTACGTTAAAAAAAAATTCCTTCTCTTTAGTGACTATTCATCACTAGAGGACTCAAGCCTTTCTGTGACCATGCCCAGTGTCCATACCACTGAGCCCGGACTCAGGCGGGAAGAGACCAAGGAAGAGGCCTCTTCTGTCTACCCAGAGCTGCCTCCAGGTCTGAGGAGGGAGGAACCAAGAGCCTCTTCGGGAGACGATGGCACCTGTGCTCCTTAGACATTGCAGGTCTCCACTGCCAGTTCTGATGCCAACATGCAAGATGAGAGTAGTTCTCTGACCTTATTTGGATTCAGGAAAAGGACCTAGGGGGCTGGGGCACCCCTGCCATAGGCACCATGGTGAGGTGTGACCCCTGGCACCTGACCACTCCAGACCCTCCTTTCAAGATCTGCATTTCTCCTCCTGCTCCCACAGATTTTTCTTTGCCCTCAGGACACTTTTTGGCCTTTCTCTTCTCCCTCTTTCCATGCAAACAGGTATTGGACTCATCCATTCCCTTACTATACTATCATTTGTCTTGAGTCACTATTCTTTCTTTGCCCCCCACCCTGTATCTTCAGATTAAGTCTTAAAGAGAAAACTCTTGAATGAAGACAATTTTCAGCAAGATACATTGAATTTCTAGTTCCAGGTGATTTTAAACTTCTAAACAGCATCTGGTTAACTTGGTAGAGATGAGATCCACTGGGTCTTTTGGAAAAAATTCTGACCTCTGTCAATCACATACGCTAAGCCAGTGGTCCCCAAACTCCAGTACACACAGGATAACTGCCACTCTATTTTATCTGGCAATCCTGCACAAGAGTCAACAGATGAGCTTAGTATCCTTCAGAGTCCTTGGATCCACCACGTATTCTGATTCAATAGGTCTGAGGTAGGGGCAGGTTCTACAGTTTGAAACATTATAGATGTGGTTTAAAAATATTTCCCTAAATTCTTCGAAAATCCTCCCTTTAAAAGATGCAGGCTAATCCCCCCAACTTGAGTGTGAGCTGAAGCTAGTGACTTGATTCTAACGAATAGTATGACAGAAATCGTGATTTCTGTGACTTCCCTGGTGGCACAGCGGTTGGGAATCTGCCTGCCAGTGCAGGGGACATGGGTTCAGTCCCTGGTCCGGGAGGATCCCACATGCCGCGGAGCAACTAAGCCCCTGTGCCACAACTACTGAGTCTGAGCTCTAGAGCCCGCGAGCCACAACTACTGAGCCCGTGCACCATAGCTACTGAAGCCCGCGTGCCTAGAGCCCGAGCTCCGCAACAAGAGAAGCCACTGCAATGAGAAGTCCGTGCGCTGCAATGAAGAGTAGCCCCCGCTCACCGCAACTAGAGGAAGCCCGTGGGCAGCAACGAAGACCCAAAGCAGCCAAAAATAAATGAATAAATAAAAAAAGAAAAGAAATCGTGATTTCTGCGTGTGTGACTTCTGAGACTGGGCATAAAAGATACTGTGGGCTCCTCGTGATTCTCTCCCCCAGCTCACTCATTCTGCAGGAAGCCAGCAGAGTGGACAGACTGTGAGGACATCCAACAGCCCTATGGAGAGGTTCATGTGTCACGAAACGAAGGTCACCTGCCGACAGCCCTGTGCATGAGCCATCCTCTAACAACCCAGCTGAGCTGCTCCCAAATTCCTGACCCAAGACTCTGCGTGATATAATAACTGTTTGTTGTTGTTATTAAGCTGCAAAGTTTTGGAATAATTTGTTACACAGCAATAGGATAAATGATAAAATGATTCTGATGCAGGTGCTCTGAATACCACATTTTGTCAAATTATTGGACTCGGCCAATGAAAGGACTCATAAACCACACCTGAATTAATATGCTGTGGCTCTGACCATAGGCTGTAGGATGGATGATTCTTTCTTTATATGTAGGAAAATTATATTCAAGAAAAGTTCCCCAGATTAGCCTTAGAGTAAAATTTTCAAGTGCCCAACAAGGGAAAAAAAGAAAGAAAGAGAAAGCTAAGTCAAAGCAGTGCAGGAGGAAAAGGAAGAGTGAATAAAGACAGCAAGCAACCCACACTCCACCACGAGTCAGTGGATTCCTACCAGGAGCAGCCTCTGGTTCGACAGGTGTCCCCTCTTCAACTGTGGCTTCTTCTACCTTCACCAAAAGTGCCTTGCCCTTTAGTGAGGGCTCATTGGCAACTTTCTGAGGTTCCTTCTCAGGGTCTTTTCTCTCAGGTTCCACTCTGACTTCTCTCTTGATGGGGCGGATGTTGCCGGGCGAGGGGGGCCGGACCTGAGCAGGGGCAGGTTTGACTGGTCCAGGAGGCATGGAGGATGCTGGTCTGGGGGTGCCAGGCAAGTGGGGAAAGGACTTGGATGGGAGCCTGGGCAACAAACAAAGTAAAGAGAAAGGGGCACATGAGAACAGGCTTGCCAGAACCTTCCTTTCCCCATACCTCCACCATGTAATAGTCTTGGAACACCAATACGGAAGAGAAATGAAGATATTTAGCTGTGTGAATGTGTCTTTTATGTGGCAAATGCAGAAGTACTCACTTTAGAGGCTCATTCCAGGTTTCTTTTTTCTTTCCTTTGAGGAAAAATATTACTCTCCAAGTGAAGGCCAAACAGTGTGGAGAGAACAGTTTCTTTTCGGAGGACAGAGGCTCTTAATTCTCCAACATGGAACAACCCTGCCAGCCTCTTACATTTCACTTACCAAAGTCGGGAGGAAGCTGGTGATCTGGCTTTGGGATGAGATGGAGATAGTGCCCTTCGGATGCCGGGTGTGAGGTGGAAGGGTAAGTTTTCTCTCTCCCTTTCTCTTTTATAGCCCTAAGTTCAGAGGAACACAATAATTAGATTTTTCCATGAGCGGGACAATCACATTCACAGTATTCAACAGTGGAGCTGCAATCCATTGAATGGCTTTTGGGAAAATTTCCAACCTTTGCCATGTATATCCATTCCACCCCAACAAAAGGCCTTTATTAGGTTAAAACTGAACGTTATAATTGAATTAACACAATCTGACACTAATAAGAAGGTTCTGGATGTGTGATCTGGACTTACATTGTAAAAAAGCAAAACAAAAACACACTTTTAGAAAGCACCTATACTTTGTATCTAAAACTACACGGAGCAAAATTTCTCATAGTCCGGTTTAGCCCACACAAATGTCAAAATAAAGGTCACTTTCAGCTTATTCCCCCTACCTTTATCTCTTTTAATTCTTAATCAGTTTTTTTTTTAACCCTGGAACACACTATAGCTCAGTTTATTTATTTTTTTAATTTACATGTCTGCTATGTCAGACATTAATTCATTTTTCTCTTTATACGGATGTTATACAAACAAGTCCTTCCTCACTTCGTGTCCTCTTGCCCTTGAAGGAAAAGTCAGGTTCAAGGTGAGGAATTTCAGCTATTTTTAGTCTTCCTCATTAGGGATGAAATGGAAATCTCTGAGGTTGGGCCAAAACATCAGCCCTCCTACGACTGTATACTAGGAGTTCAGCCAGAGAGGTGACACCTTTCCTAGGTAGAAATGGGCAAAAGGAAACCCAGAAGTGTTCTGATAGTCTCAAGTCAACGAAGACAAAAATAAACAAACAAACAAACAAACAATAAAACCCCCCAAACCAAAACACAAACAGAAACAAACAAAAAGACAAGGCACAGGGCAAGGGAGAAAGTACTCATTCCAAGTATCTGAAACACGGCCAACAGTGTTCTGGGATGGGAACAGATGCTGGCTGGAGGGACCTGTGTGGATGCCTGTCAGTCCTTCACTCTGTGGGATCCTTGCAGGAAAGCAGACTGAGGGTGCTAGGGAAGGGGCAGAACAACACCTAGCCTCAGGGCCAATAAGCTGGCATGTACCTTCTTTTCTTTCCTTTTCTGCCTGGCTCAAACATCACGCCCCTTCTTTCTTCCCTCCCCTTTTGTTCCCTTCAGCATCTCTTCTAATTGCTTCTATTTTTCTTAGTAGCATCCTAGTTGATGGACTGGGCTATAGGTGGGGGAAAAACATCTCAGTGTCAAATAATACTCAATGTCTCCCCAGAATTTCTAAATAAAACAAATGAAGGATGAGGCAGGAGAGAGCTTCACAGGGTGCCACCTCTATATCACTTGCAGCTGCATGACCACCCTTTGTCCCCGTCTCTGGTAGTAGAAGGCAGGAGGCAGGTTATTGGAGAACAGCTGCAGTGCTTGGGTAGCAGAAGCAGCAGCCACCATATGGAACCCTCTTGATAGGTGTACAGGATGGCAATTATGCCTCTGGCAGATCAAGTCCCCAGAGTGGAAGGTACAGGCCTCTTCCCGAGGGAGGTTGGGGTTAAGCCCTTGAGTTGCTTTTCTTTCTTTTTCTCAAAACATTTTAATTTGGCTAAAGTCAGATCAAGGAGAGACCTGAATGGGAAAATAAGTCAGGAAAGGTAATTTGTCGTGTGGAGGATTTGGGGACTAATGTCATCATCTACGCCTTGATAAGACAGGCATCTGGGAATAAATCTACATTAAAGTGTATAATCCTCAGAGTCTTCTTTTTGTTAAAGTGCCACTGAACCAATTCTTTCTCTCTTAAAACTGACCTCCCTTTAATCACCTTTAGGGAGTAGGGGGAACAGGGAGAAGCAGTTTGGAAAAATGCTCAGTATTTGACATAACACCCTCCCAGGCAGGTAGATAGATGCTTTTACCCTCTTAGTTCTTTTAAATATCTTTCCACTGGTCTTGGACCCAATCACCTATTTGAGTTCCACACATGTAAAGATGTTCCTGATTCTCATCCTGATCTGAGTTAACAGCCAATGGTCTGTACAATAATCTTTCCTGTTAACACGTTCCACAAGGCTAAGGTGGAACACACACAGCAAACCCATGTCAGTGGTCTAGGCAACTTACCAGCAGGACAAAGACTTTAGTTTTACAACTAAAGTTAGGTTTAGAATACAAATAACCCACAAGAGAGACAATATAAACAGATATTCAAAGGCAGCACTGTACAAGAGAACAGTGATGATAGAAATGTTCTGCACCTACACTGTCCAAAATGGTAGCCACTAGCCACATTTGGCTATTTGAATTTAGACCTAAATTAATTAAAATTAAATGTTAAGTTTAGTCTCACAAAACATATTTCAAGTACTCAATAGCAGGCAGTTGAATTTAGATCTAAATTAATTAAAATTTAATAAAATTGAAAAGGAAATTAAGAAAACAATCCCATTTACAACAGCATCAAAAAAAGAATAAAATACTTAGGAATAAACTTAACCAAGGAGGTGGGAGACTTCTACAGAGAAAACTAGAAGGCATTGCTGAAAGAGATTAAAGAAGACACCAATAAATGGGAAGACATCTAAAGTTCACAGAATGGAAGACTTGTTATTGCTAAGATGTCAATACTATCCCAAACAATCTACAGAATCAATGCAATCCCTATCAAAAGCCAACATCATTTTTTGCAGAAATAGAAAACTCCATCCTAAACTCATATGGAACCTCAAGGGACCCTGAATAAACAATCTTGAAAAAGAAGAACAAAGTTGGAGGTCTCACAATCCCTGATTTCAGAACATATTACAAATCTATGGTAATCAAAACAGTATGGTACTGGCATAAAGACAGACATATAGACCAATGAAACAGAGTACAGCATCCAGTAATAAACCCTTGTGTATATGGTCAAAGGATCCTTGACAAGAGTGCCAACACCATTCAATGGGGAAAAGATAGTCTTTTCAACAAATGGTGCTGGGAAACTGGATATCCACATGCAAAAGAATGTAGTTGGACCCTTACCTTACACCATATACAAAAATGAACTCAAAATGTTTGAAGACCTAAATGTAAGACTTCAAATTATAAAATTCCCAGAAGAAAATGGGAAGCATCATGATACTGGATTTGGTAATAATTTCTTGGATATGACACCAAAAGCACACGCAATGAAAGCAAAAATAAACAAATGGGACTTCAAACTTAAAAACTCCTATGCATCAAAGGATATAATCAACAGAGTAAGAAGGCGACCTACAGAATGAGAGAAAATATTTGCAAATCATATATCTGATAAGGGATTAATATCCATAATGTATAAATAACTCCAACAACAAAAATTAAAAATAAGATTAAAAAAACGGGCAAAGGACTTGATATTTCTCCAAAGATGATATACAAATGGCCAACAAACTTATAAGATGCTCAACATCATTGATGATTAGAGAAATGCAAATCAAAACCATAATGAGGTATTATCTCACGCCTATCAGGCTACTATTTAAAAAACAAACAAAAAAAACAAAACGAAAAAACAAGTATTGGTGAGGATGTGAAAACACTGGAAGACCTTGTACCCTGTTGGTTGGAATGTAAGTAAAATGGTATTGTCACTTTGGAAAACAGTATAGCAGTTATTCAAAAAATTAAAAATAAAATTACCATAAGATCCAACAATTGGGTATATATCCAAAAGAACTGAAGGCAGGATCTTGAAGAGATATCTGCACACCCATGTTTGTAGCAGTGCTATTCACAATAGCCAAAAGGAAGAAGCAACTCAAATGTCCATCGACAGATGAACAGATTAACAAAATGTGGTGCATCTATACATGTATACAGGTGTGTGTATATATACACATACAGAAATATATATGTATAGACACACACACAACGGAGTGTTACTAGCCTTAAAAAGAACAGAAATCCTGTCACATGCTACAACGTGGAAGGACAGACCTTAAGGACATTATGCTAAGTGAAATAAGCCAGTCACAAAAAGACAAATACTGGGCTTCCCTGGTGGCGCAGTGGTTGAGAGTCTGCCTGCCGATGCAGGGGAAATGGGTTCGTGCCCCGGTCCAGGAAGATCCCACATGCCGCGGAGCGGCTGGGCCCGTGAGCCATGGCCTCTGAGCCTGCGCGTCCGGAGCCTGTGCTCCGCAACGGGAGAGGCCACAACAGTGAGAGCCCTGCGTACTGCAAAAAAAAAAAAAAAAAAAAAAAAGACAAATACTGTATGATTTCATTTGTATGAGGTATCTAATGTAGTCAAATTCATAGGAACAGAAAGTAAAATGGTGGTTGCCAGGAGCTGGGGGAGGAGGATGGAAGGTTGTTGTTTAGTGGGTATAGTTTCAGTTTTGCAAGATTTAAAAAGTTCTAGAGATTGGTTGCAAGACAATGTGAATACACTTAATACTACTGAACTGCACATTTAAAAACAGTTAAGATGGTATATTTTGTTGTATGTTTCTTGTCACAATTAAAAATTGCTTAAAAGAAAATTAAATTTCAAATTTGATCCGTCAGTCTCATTTGCCACATTTTCAAGTGCTCAGCTGAATTCCACAGTGCAGCTCTGGAGTATAAATGATTTGTGAGTCGTTTTCTGGCAGTAGGTATTTGCCTAAATATTTAATTGCAAAGAAGTGAAAAGGCAGCCAATAGATCAAATCAGAAAGAAGGCACTAAAAAGACAAAAACAAAACCGGTGAGAAAATATAGGTTTTGGATCGTATGATGACAAATCCCTCTCATTTAATCTGTTGGCCAAGGATCAGCTCTCACCCTTCCCTCCTGGAGTGTTCATTTTTGTTTTTATCCGTAACAAGGTATCTTTTTCTTTGGTACACGCTTTTCTCTACCCAATAAGTATCCAACATTTGGGGCCAAAACTGTTCTGCTTAACTATTGCTACTTGTCCACAGTTAGGATCTCTGAGGCACCAAAGTGCTAATGATGGAAGACTTCCCAGACATCAAAGGTAGTTTCACTTCTGGCTTGAAGGGCTGGAGGTCTGATTCAATCATGAATTAAACCTTGACTCCTGAAAGCCTGAAGCGCTTGAAAGAAAACTGCCTGTAGGCAAAGCCACCAAGCTGTCACAACCCTTGAATTATCCTCAAAGGTCTAAGCAAAATCCTTTCAGGTGTTCATCAGCTTTATAAATCTGAATTGCTCCGAGAAGCTAGGATTGAAAAAAATTGTTCCAGCCTCTCATGGGTCATGCTATTGCCATGAGAGAGGGGCAATGAGATCTTCTGGTGGACTGGGAAGTCCTTTAAGACTAAAGTACAACGTCCGAAGACCACAGAGCAATGTCTATACATTTCAGCGGCTACCAAATAACACACAGTTTAAATAAAACAAAGAAGAAGAAAGATTCTTGGAGACATACAAGTGACCTCATTGCAGTTATAGCATCGTGAAAATTAATGTTAGTTCAGCCACCTTGTCAGAAACAACAGGTACAAATTATATTCTTCACTTGCAAAACGTGAGTCTGTAACACAGCCCAACAGCCTTTCAAGAATTACTTAGTGAATAACTAGTGTTTTCTATTCTTTGTCACTATATTTTAAGACCTGGGCCTTGACACGGATTAGCTAAACAGACAAAAATTCCTTATCTTGCTTTTTAGTGAACCACATTTAGAGTTCAGCCAGCTTCTGGACAGGGTTGGAATAAAATGCAAAGGCAGCAGTCCAGGCCCACTTCCCCTTCAAAGGTTTTCTTACTTTCAAAAATAAAGTATGTTGGCATTGCACTTATTCGTGTGGAGGCACCCATATGGCAGTTCAGCCACTTAGACATGCTTGAACAAAGAACAATTTTCATCTTCAAATTCAGATTTTCAGGGGGGAGCAGAATCGCCAAGTGGGGAGGAAGTGTGGGGACAGCACCGCTCAGCCAGCCAGATTCAAGACTGGTGGGACGGATGGGAGGGCGGATGTCACCATCGCCTGGCTTACATCCTCACTGCACCTCGAGGCGGTGTCCACTACGCACAGAAACAGTGCAGACTCGCCAGGCTGCTCCCAACAGCTACTCACCGCTGCGCCGTGAACAGTCCTCCTTCGCGCGGAGCCCTCCGGTGGCGTTACAAAGAATTTTGGTCGCTCCATCGGATTTCTAGAGTGTGCGGCTTTGTAGGGCATGATGTTGATGGGGCTGCAAGATGCTGAACGAGGACACATGGGGGTAACTAGGGTGCAGGTGATTGTTTTACACGCAAGAGTGCCAGAGGAGCAGTTGAAGGAAAGCCAAAAGCAGGATCAGGAAAAGTAGCAAAGCGGAGATAGAGAGAAAAGTAGGGAGAAGATGTTATTACCTAAAGGTGTCCAGACCATCATACTCAACTCTCCTCAAGGTCCTATTAATTTACAGTGTGTCCAAAAGGAGCGCATGTCCAAATGAAAAATCTGGAATATAGAAACTATTTGGCTATTTAAATACTTATTAAAGATATAGATGTAAGCCAATAATTACAGAGAGCAATGGTCTTATAGTCCCATAAACAGATGGTTCTGGTAAAATGCGACATTAGTGACAGATAATTTTAAGATAAGGATTGTTTATAATTAGATTTTTCCTAATAGCTTTAAGATGGAACAAACGGTGGAAAGACAGCAAGTAAGCAAGCAGGCAAGCAAGATATACTGCAACTATTTTGGGAGTAAAATTCAACAACCACTGGGGAAAAAAAGCAACTGAAATTTTAAGATGTTAAATGACCAAGTCTTATCAGGTATTAAGACTTGTTACAAGAATAACTAATAATTTCCAGGAAAAAAAATTCCGTAAGTGTTTTATCTACTTAAAGGCAAATCAAATGCACGCTTCTGGGTTTTCCCCAAAAGCCAAGGCATTTCATGGTTCATAACAAGCAGCAGAACGTATGGGGAAATGGGATGTCATCATTTAAAACGGTGAAGGGAACATAAATATGTTAGAATTGCCAAAAATAAAGTTGAATCGCGAACAGCTGTTGCAGTTTTACTCAAGATAGAAATATTTTTTTGAAAACCACGTAGCTTCTGACCATTCACCTTCAAAGGAACATTATCATTAATCAAGTGATTCTGAGTAACAGTGGGTTTAAAGAAATTCACAGAACACTGCGTAGGTATCAAACATGTGGGTACTAATGTCCCAAGGTTCATTTTCAGATCTCATCCGGAAATCTTGTTTTCCAGCAAAAAATAAGACAATTAAACATGACTACTGAGGGGAATGCTATGTATTCGGACCATGTTATAAAATGACTTTACCCGACCCTAGCCATTGTAGTAGCAACCCTTTAAAGAGACTGTTAGGTCAACTGAATATAACAGTATTAATAAATTAAAAACTCAAAAGTTAACAGGACAAATTCAAGGTAATCTCAATTTCAGAATTATAGTTAAAAATATTTAAGTGCTTTTTTGGTTTAGTCTACAGACAGAAAGTCCATCAGATTGCATCTGTATTCCTGTGTTCTCTTTCATTAAATGCCTTGCAGTATCTTCTGGTTATCACTGCATGGTCAAGGTGGTGAATCGACTAGAAACTGCACTCTCTTCTCCCATCATCTGAAAACAGAACCCTTGTTTCTTGGATAAGCTGAAACACCTTGCATTCCCTCAGTTCTCCTTAAAAGGTATATGTCTTACTTCCAAACTGACATAAAGCTTTGCCTCAGACCTTAATCGTGAAGGAAGTTTCCTTTGTGTTGTGAAGAAGGAGACCCTCTCCTCATTTGGCTTATCGTGATCACAGGGAAAACTGTTGGAAAACAACCTTTTCTCAAGTGCCACAACAAAGCAGTTGCCCTTCCCAGACAAAGAAAGAGCTCATTAATGCAAACCTCTTCCAAGCCAATCAAATGCCTTTAAAGAAGAACATCCTGGCACAAGGCACTTCTGTGGGATTAATGACCAAGAGAGGCACACACAGCCCAGGGCACAGCCAGAGGCCATTAACTGCTCAAGGATCAAGAAACCCTAGATGACAGCCCTGCTCTGAGGCCATGCGTCTGACACTGAAAAAGGAATGAAGCACAGAAATATGATTTCTTTTCCCTCTAGTGGAAAGTAATAATTTCAGGGGTATCTGTGGAGCACTTCCTTGGAGCATTTCCTGAGACCACCGTGGACATAACCAATCTCATCATGCCTCTGGTTCATTCTTTATTATAGTGCTGAGTCAATGCGAAGGAAAGGGAAAAAAATATCCTTAAACCTACCTAATGTAGTCCATACAAAAATCCTCAAATTTAATTCTTCAAGAAACATCGTCTGGCTAATTCTAAGGATACTACATTTCATGGAATTCATCGCTGTTCTTAACAGCAACTACTGAAAACCCTGAAACCTTTAAATCAATTATTCTAATAATCTTGCCCTTCTGAAGAAATAGGAAGAGCAATATGAGATTGTTTTCTTTTCCCTCCTAGAGTGCCCTCCATAACCCAAAGTAGTTTTATTAAACATTTCTTTTATGGAAATGTCTTTGAGAAATCCTTCCACAATATCTGTATTTCTTTCTACTATTGGTAGCGAGCGTGCATTAATTTAACGTATTCAGGATTTTCTATGTGAAATAATGGCTGCAGAGAAAAGATAATGCAGTTCAAGTGGTTGGAGTGCAGCAGAGAGAATAATTACATAGTAGAATAATAACAACATTTATTGAGTGCCTACTATGTGCAGGTACTATTCGAAACATTTTACATGTGTTAACTCATTTAACAGTTAAATGAGTTAACATGTGTTAACTCATTCATGTATCATGAATGTATTTTTAAAAATGGGCAAGAAAAAAATCAACCCAAAGCAGTGGTCACAATGAAACATATGAGACTCTGATTTCCAATTTTCAACTGCTCTTATTACTTGTTCTGGGAATTTGCAATCACCAAACACCCTAGGAGTAAGGATGGCTGTTTTGATTTGCTACTGTAACCCTGGCTCTGGATGTAGGTCACCCTCTCGCCAATGGCAACTGGATATGAGGTGAACTCAAGGGACGACACTAAAATGGGAAGACAAGAAAAAATAATCAAGGAGACCAGATGGAAAAATAAAAGTGATGGGAAAAATGTTTTTGAGGAGATAAGTGTAAGAGACGTTTACATGAATAATTTCAAATGGAAATTTCTAAACACAACAGTTTTGGTTCATTAAATATAAGCTGTTATCAATGCAATAATAGGTAACAATGATCTAAGGAATGTATTAATAAAACAGGCAACTCAAGTAAAGGCTATGTATGCATTGCTTCACACTAAAATACATTACAAAAATGTATCAATTTGTGAAGAGGAGAATGGAAAAGTTGCAAAGTAAAGAAGAGCCAGTTAGCAGATTAAAAAGCACCTTGGTTGAGTGCCAAGGAAGGTGGGAAGCTGGGCAAGTCGAATGGGTGGAAAATGAGGAAATGGTGTTGGAAGAGACTAGAGGAAGAGTGAAAGAATTGACAAAAGTTAGTGATGACAGAAATAGCAAAGAAAGACAATTTTTTAGCTGTGAGGCAGTCCTTTAGTATGAAACAACATACAATGTGGAGGTTCAGAAGCATGAGAACCATAAACTATTTAGATCCGATGAATTAGGACTGAAAAGCAGTTTTAAAGGTTTTTCAATTAGCTGGACATAAAGAACAGCTTTCATGACTTATATGAAAGTATGACAAAATGGACATAAAAATAAAGTATCTTGAAATAAACTGTAGTTTTTTCCTTCAGAAAATTCTCAGATGCAATGTGACAGCTGACAGGAGAGTTACTTTATAGAAAACACAGATCACTGTGGTCCAGCTAGTTGAACGCACAATGGTACAGAGAGCATCACGAGGGTGCCGAGGATAGAAGCACGTTTAAGACCTAGTCCACCAATTTTCTAAGCGCCTCTGGTATAACTCACTTATTGTCAATCTCTTGTTTTCCACAGGCAGGTGGTGGGAATGCCTGCACTTGCTTTCTTGACTGCCGCCCAGGGGTACTATGAGAATGAGGGTTGATACTAGCTCATTGGACACCACAGATGAAAGATATCATAAAACAACCAAGAATTATTATTTAAAAAGAGGGCTAGTGAACATGAAGTGGCTTGCGGAGGCAAAGCCTTTTCAAAGGGAGCTTTATGAAGAGGCTATGCAATTTCTCATGTGCCAAACATGAGGGCTGGTTACATAGATACACCAATTGTGCCCAAAGATATTTGGGAAAGTCAAAATCGACTCACCATGAGAGGGACACTGCCAAAAGCCTAATAGGTATCTTTCTTTCCAGCTAGATGCAGACTCTATACTAGCTTCTCATTAAACTAATTGGCTCATTCAGGGGTGTTTTATATTTCAAAAAAGTAGAGGAGTTATAACTAATTATAATAACTAGTACTTGGCACATTTTACATATTTTCAAAGTATGTAACAAATAAGAACACTGTAATTAGCCTTCTCCACAGCTCTTTATAGAGTTTTGAAAGGGTACTATTCCTCAATTACAGATAAAAGACTAGCCCAGGGAGGATAAGTGACTAGTCCACAGCTACATTATGAAACGCTATGCTTAAATCGGCTTGTGCTTTGAGTTTATCCCCAGGCCCACAAATTAGTATTAGATATTAAATTATTTCTACCTTTGATCATCTGCTCAGATGCAGGGGCAGAAAGAAAGGTGGGTAAGGGATAGGATTTTCTGGTAACACTATGAACAGACAGAAGCCTCTGAAGCCATCTGATCACAGGGAGGGGCATCCTTTACCTGCCCGGCATCTGGTGTCCAGATAAGATGCTAAGACGGATGCTCAGAGGAAACGATACCAGGGGCATGAAACCAACACCAACAGACACATTTCCAACGCCATTCCACCAGGAGGAGGAGAAGCACGCGATGGGAAAAATTGAGATGGGATTAGATGAAAATGGGTGGCTTAGAGACGCTTCTAAAGGAGGACTTTACCTCACGGAGAAAGTTGCACCTTGACAGTTTTACCTGTATCTCCAGACAAGGCAGCTGTGCTTTTACTTCTGGCCAGGAACGAATGTGTGGGCGTCAGCAATCTGTTAACCACGCTGCTCTCCCATGGGCTGAGCTGCAGGCGGCGAGCTAAACGTCACCACATAAGTGAGATGTTAGAAGCATTCTTTCCAGGGGCGAGGGGGTGCAAGGCATCACCCCTATCGCTCCCACACGCCGGGCCTTCGCGAGAGACCTCGACAGAGACCAGGCTGTCCGGGGAGGAAGCTGGTGGAGAGTCAGGGCAGGAGGGACTCTGCTCAAAGGAGCAGCTATTCCATAAGGTGCCTCTCTTCAAGAGGTTAAGTTTGTGGCAGGTTCTGTATTAGTTTTATGGACACAGATTTTGCTAACCACCCTCCTATGGATCCAACAGGTAACAATACAGAAGAACCATTTCCAGCAGGTTTGGCATGTATCTCTGAGTCTGTTGAACCCATCTGCCTCATCAGGATGGGCGGTGAGCAGACAGCACACACCTCAGCCAAAAGGTGTCCTAAGTACCCTGAATGTCAACTTCAACAAAGTCGAAGCGTCATGCAAGACTGGAAATATGTGGATAGAGAAAAGGTCTCCATTAAATTTTGCTACATCTCCATGAATTGCTACTTGGGCAACTGGAGGAAATCAGATATAATAAAGTGAAAGAGGACTCATGCAACGTTCTATGTAAGTTTTTCTTTTGACTTTCCCATTTAGCAAGCAAGTTCTTTCAGGTCCCTGGTTTGGCAAAAGCATAAAAATTCTGATGGAGGATAAGGGTAAAGCTGAAGATAAAATTACGATAGAAAAGCCAAAATTCAATATAATCATAATGTCAGAAATTACTAGTGGGTGTGTGAAGAGTCAAGAAAATCAATTTAAAATGATGCAATGAAGTGGAGTCCCAAATTGTACTGGGGCTTCGCAAGACCACCGTTAGGAAATGCATGCTAATTATAAATTAATTACTTTGCTTATACTGTTAGCTTCCAGCGATGGTCCATGAAAATATAGAAGCTACTTTCCAAAGATATCAGGAAAAAAGCTTGCAAAATCCTACAAATATCACTAAAATAAAGTGATCATATACACTTGACCCTTGAACAATACAGGTTTGAACTGCGCACGTCCACTTATACATGGATTTTTCCACATTTTATATTTCCCAGTAAATATACAGTTGGCCCTCGGTGTCCATGGATGCAGAACCGGCAGATGCGGAGGGCTCACTATGGAACTTCAGCATCTGAGGACTTGGGTATCTGCGGCAGCTCCTGGAACCAACCCTCTGTGGATACTGAGGGAGGACTGTATCTCTGTTTTAGAATACACTTCCAAGTCGCTTATAAAAGTCTTTCAAACTGTCTAAACCTGACAAGGCCACTTCTGTTCTGCACCATAAACAGCAGGTGCAAGTCCTCTGGTCTCTGGAGCAACTGTCCTTATAATAAATTTTTATATATGTTATATTTTAAAGAAATGACTTCTGAATTCTAGGAAATTAGTTTTAGTTAATAGAAGCCATCCGATGTTAAAGGCTGTTGTAGAAAATATCCGCTCCTATTTGAAAGGAAGTACCAACCTCCAATAAGTACGTTAATTATTGGACTTTATTTCAAAAGAGTAGCTATTTTGATCAAGGTGCTGGTGAATTTAAGAACTAGTGAATTCTTTATTAGAATTTCTGTTTATTGGGAGTCTTCATGGTTAAAATCAATCTGCTGACAAATAAAAAGATCTGTTATAAAAACTATTGTAATAGTTACACAGTTAGTAGAATGCACAGTAGGATAAGTGCTATTATAAACTGTAGTATGGCAGTGTGTGTGTGTATGTGTAACAACAGCAGAATATAGTCTAACCTAAAATTAGAATACATTCAGAGAATTAAATCAGTGGGAAAAGTGATTAGGATTAAATTAAAATCTTCACTAGAATTGTATTTTCAGTAGATGATGAAGGGAAGAAGAGGTGAATGTTTCCTTTTCTTAGATAAACTCTGGAGGATAACTGGCTTAGAACTGTAGAGATGGTTTATCAATGAAAAGCCGTGTCTTTTTTTCCCCTTGATTGAGAAGCTCAATTACTTTATTTCTGTTGGTCTTTAAGGCATCAACCAAAGAATCTGCCTCAAATGAAGATCATTAAACACTCTCTTTGACTGGTGTTTAAAGCAAATCCAAAGGGATTTGTTTTATAGCTTCGAAACTGTGAATGAAAGATTTTGCGAGGAGAAACGTTTGCACTTCTATCACATTCATAACTATGCTCTGAACAAGAGAGAAACAGATCTCTTCCATAACTTTTTAGTAAAGGTTAGTACAGGAGAGTTACTTTATTGTTTTTTTTTTTAACCTAGAGAGGCCTAATCGTGAGATGATAAGCTCCCGAAGGAAAGGTATTAATTCTCATGAAACAACTATAGTATTGATCCTACTTAAGCACTTAAAATGAGATATTGACAATTCCCATAAAAGACCATCTGGTCCAAGGACACAATCAAACATTAGAGATATCTGTGCTGCCCTGTTCCTTCACAAGCAGGAAGTCACTATTCAGTCCCAGATGACGGGTGCCATGCAGAAATCAGGCAAGTGTTGCCACATCCTGACCTAAATGTCATATGAAATCTTACATTTTTAAATATGATGGCAATTAATTAGACCTAAAACAGGAACCAAAAACCCCTGCTCCGGTCAAACAGAACACGGGGGCAGGATTCAGCTTTAGGTCCTCCACCATGTCCTCTAATCTAGATTCTGGGGAAAAAAATGTATGAACTAATTTTCAGCAAAGAGTAGCCAATTTCCTTCTTACTTTTTTCAAACGCCCTTCCTTGAGAAAAAAGCTGGTTAAGCAGGAAGCTTAAGATAATATGCAATACACATTTTTAATGCAAAAATTTCCAGGGGCAATATTCTCTCTGTTGCAGCGATTACAGAAATCTTTGGTAATCAGGGGTTTCCTTTAACTCGGGCATTTTATCAGTTTATGTGACACTATATTCAGGTGTGATGATCAAAATATTTAAAACCTGGTGGGGCAAGGCACCAGTAGAGCTTTCCTAGTAGAGCTAGTAGATAACACTCTGTAGGGCCTGGGGAAGCACAGCTCGGGGAAGTGGATATTTACCAACTGGTATGGAAATATTCCAGCATTTTGAATAACCAGCAGAGCGTTCCAGCTGAATGTCAACTTTAATAGTATCAGAGCTTCAGTTTAATATCAGCTTTAAGGCCTGTGCTGTAGGGCTGAGAAAGCTCAGACAATCTAGTAATGGTGTACACTCTCTATGATCAGGCTGTAAAAGCCTCTAATCATTTGATAAGAATGCTCTCTACTTTGATAATAAAGCATAATCGAATTTAAAAAATAGATAGCAGAAATTATACTAACTAAATTACTTAAATCTCTAAATTAGAGAAGTTCAAATGCAGAAGATTTCTATTCTCATTAAAAGACACAGCCCTCTCACTGTGCTAGGGTTCTGCCTAACTTAAAAAAAAAAAAATCGCTTCCTGGACCACACGGGAGCCCCTGGATGAAGCGGATCTTTCTTCCAGGCTGACCTCGTCAGTTAGACCAGAACTGGTTCACAGTTCTTTTGATAAGGGGGGAGGAGACATGGAACCCGTAAATTCAGTGCTCTCCCCCTTATCCTTTTGGTCCAGCTTAGCACTGGGTTTTATAGGCCTGCACCATGATTCAAGGGGCAATTTCCTGGCCCCAGCTATGAACCGCTTATTGAACTACCCCTGGCCCTTAACCTCACCCAAAGGAAGAGTGCATGGAGTCAGGATTGATGTAAGGAAGGACATCCATGAAGGAGAGAACTACAAATGCAGCACAGCAGCAACACGGGTTGGGAGCTGGTGATCTCTGTTCTAGTCCCTCTTCTCCAGCGATTAACTTGTAGGATTTGAAGTCAGGCCCTTCACCTCTTAGGGACTCCATTATCCCAACTGAAGTAGATGAGCCAACCAACAAATTTTTCCCAGTTCTAAGATCCAATTACTTAAGGATATTCAATCAGATATTGTCATGCAGAGTCTACAAAACATCTTATTTCTAGTTGACACAGCACTGTCAATCCACAGAAGTGTGGACAGTACTCTGTTCGGTTTATTGCCCATCTGCCTACCCCCAACCTTGTCCCAGTTTCGGCTACAGGATTGTAGGAGGCAATAAGCCAAGGTTTAACTGAAAACGGCCGTGAGTCCCAGTTACAGTTTGTCTTAGACCCACGTTCACAAAAATATAAAATTCAAGTGCTAAGTGACCAATCCCAAAGAAAAGATGAATACACAACTGTTAAGAACAGCATGCTATATTTTACGTTATTTTAAGAGAATTGGTTTGAAAATAAAGGCTACTTATGAAAGGAACTTCAATTCATAATACTTTTCTCTAACATATAAAAGGCCATTAATTTGACTACATGTCTAATATCAACGATTTAGGCAAACTAGGTTAAAAAAAATGATTTAGGTTAAAAGGCAAGAATAGGCAGTTGATTCATTTACTGCTTTAAGAGATTAATTATAACATCAACGCATTATATTGTACATAACAATGACACCATAACTTTTATACAATACAAAATATACAAATACACATACACACATATAGAACATGCACACATTACATTCTTTTTAAAGACTATAAACACTTCAAAACCAATCAGTTTCTTAATAAAGCACTCAAAGCCACCACAGTTTGTTACTTTCAAAGAGTATGTGTTTTTATATTGCACAATAATTCTTTGGTTTTTTTAATTTAAAATCATTTCAGTTATGTAAAACAAGTAGCTTATCTTAAAAGCTCGATTTTTCATTCTATGATACGTAAATATGTAAAATAAAACTTTCATTTCATAAGTAACTCAACATTCATGTACTGTAAATCCATGGGATGAACAAAACTCAAAATTCAAATAAAATGTTAATTGGAGGACTATGAATATTGAAATTTTTAGGAGGCTTAAATAATGATGTTCTTGAAGTTAGGCCAAATCCCTTTAAATGAATGGACACCAGAAAACCAGTCACGCACATACAAGAAATGCAGTAAGAAAGGTTTGGTTAAAGGAGAAATAAATTAGCAAAATGAAATCTATCAACATGAATCATTTAAAAAGGTCTTTTAGAAAGTTAAAGCCTGGAATTCCCCAAGTACAGATGAAAAGTCAAAGACAATCTGATTGAAGTGAAATAAATGTTCATAACAAAGATTATTTGCATGTTGGTGGATAAGTGGGTGATTTCTGGAGCTGTAAACGCATGTACTAAAAACTTGAGAGAAGCACCGCTTTCATCACTGCTAAATGCAATCATTCAGCCAAGTTCTAAAATGAGAACCGTTCTTGTCGCAAGGAAAATGCTGCTCAGACGTTTATTGCTTTTTTACTCTGAAGTTTTTTTCTTCCTATTTAAGAAACGTAGGGAAAGCAACTTCAGATGCTTACTTTTATCTGTAAACATCCAGAAAAAAAAAAGCATTAAGGAAATAACAGAACACTTTTTTTGTTTTCCTTTTGACTGTACCTCTATCTGGAGAATTTAGTAAAGTTGCAGATGAAGAGGAGAGCCGCTTGCTAATGACGGGATCAACATGTTTCGAAAGATTCATGGTGGAAACTGACCTCCTGTCTGGATCTAAAACAAATGGAGATAATGCTAATTGACAGCCAGCATGCAGGATTGCAATTTCCTAGTTCACTGATGGAAGGAAAAACTAGGATTGGATGCTTTCAGCTCTATGACTAGATCTTTACTATAGCACAGTTTTCTAAGTGGACATTTTAAAGGTAACTTAAAGGCTAGAAATAATACTCATTTTTCTTATAGGAAAATAAAAATATAAAATAACTATTCAGCTCACCAGTTAGTCAGCTAGGGAAATTCAAGCATATTGTTATAATACAACAAATGTAGGAAGACCAAAGGAAAGCCAGCGGAGGACAACGAAAATAATGGAAGGGGACTGTGAAGCACAAAGGGGCCCATAAAAGTGAACGCCTTGGGCTTCCCTGGTGGCGCAGTGGTTGAGAGTCCGCCTGCCGATGCAGGGGACACGGGTTCGTGCCCCGGTCCGGGAAGATCCCACATGCCGCGGAGCGGCTGGGCCCGTGAGCCATGGCCGCTGAGCCTGCACGTCCGGAGCCTGTGCTCCACGACAGGAGAGGCCACAGCAGTGAGAGGCCTGCGTACCGCAAAAAAAAAAAAAAAAAAAAGTGAATGCCTTCATGATTTCCCAAAGTGTGAACAATGGGGTAGTAATAGTGCTGGTAGGCTAGAATGCAAACACTAGAATAAAAAGAACACCAGGTTCTGTGCGTCTGCTGATACCTTTGCTTGTAGAGTCATTTTACCCAGGGCATTGAAGTTCATTATAGAAAAACAGATTAAAAAGGAAGAAAAAGAAACCCTTTAGGTGTGGAAAGAATGGCCCCCAGAGCAGTTCTTTTTTAAAGTACACTAATAACCACTCCTCTGTGCCTATAACACAGAGTTTAGTGTGGTTTACAGATGTAGAATCAGCCCACAAACCTGCCTAACAAAACTGGCAGCAATGCAAAGAAAATCAGAATTCTTTCTCTTTAAGTTTATTAATAATATTCTTATTGCTGTTGGATAATTTTAGGGTAATTCTTAAAGTTCAAGTCAGAAGAGAAATAGTAGCTGTATAAAAGGCAAAAATCAGCTCTGATAGTTTGCTCTCCTTACAGTGGAACTAAGCTATAACCACACTCACTAGCGTAAATCACGTTCCCTGAATAAAACTGTGTATAAGGAAAAGTCTAAACATCTCATCATTATATTTACGTAGGATGCAGGGAGTTTTTCTGGCCTATAATAGCCAAAGTTAAAGAGGTTTTGCCATATTTTATTTTATTTTCTATGGTTAGCTTCTTCTAAAACTGAAAACAAACCAAAATATTCCTCGTGAGAGAGGCCTTCAAACCCCGTTCCCACTGGTCTAACTAACCCTGGCGGTAAAAATGTTAAAATTTCCCCCACAGAATAACCATTTTGGGCCATTATTTATAGTGTGCAGGAGATAAGCAAGTCTTCCACCAACATCAGACATTCCTGTCTTCTACAGGGACTCATCTTTACGGTTGAAGCAATTTAATTAAAATTTTTTTAAATTTATTTAAGTATCCTTGACTTACATGAAGCAATTTAATTATTAAAAGGAAAATAACCAAACATCATTTCTGTGACTCAAATTTACACTTAACTGATGGGCTCTTAGGGCAATCCTAACAAAGAAAAGATTTAGGGTAAAATGTCAAAAGGAACATCTTAATGATAAAATGTGAGGTTCAAGGGCACAAGGAAGGAAAATGAAAGTCACTTCTAGGAGATCTTACAGCAATATCTTTTCTGATATTGCTTTATATGTTAAGCTTCAGTTGGGGGGAGATTGTGTCTACATGCAGGCCTAACATGCATCATTAAAATTATGGAGATATAATATGTATTTATTATATTACTTAACATGTAAGAATTTTTAATCTTTTTCTTTTCCTCTCTGAACAAAACACAGATCCACAAAAGGATTCATGAAGAATCGGTTTAAAACGTATAAAGTTTTACAAAGCAGTGCGAGCTGATGTGGGAGCAGTGAGACAACACACTGATTTAATCTGGATGAAATTCAACTTCTAGGATTTGTTTGTTGTACCTACTACAAGTTAGGCCTTGTGGTGAAGTAAGGGGTACTCAAAGTGATCAAGACCTGGTCACTGCTCTCAAGATCTCAGCACATCATTCTGACCTTTGAGAATTTTGGCAAATTCCCATTATTTTCAAACTACTCTGTTCCAGTATAAGAGCAATTTTCTCTAATTCACAAACCTTATAAAAAAGGATTTTATCCAACAGCTCACAAATACAATGCTGGTTTCTCTTGCTCTGAGTGGCAATAACAAAGGTTATATATTGAACTGAGTGTGGAAGCAAGAAGTAAAGCTAAGTAACTTGAGTTCCCCTCAAAAATGTTTGAAAATCTGTAACAGGTTTACATGTGTAACGTGCACATGTAAAACAGGAAGCCAGGTAAAAGAAAAATAAGTAAGGTTTTAAAGTACATACCATGACAGCTTTTTTGCATGGAACAAATATGCAAAATTTTCCCTAGAATGAAATATCACATGTAAATGATCCTTATGACCACAGATTTGATATGTGCCCCACAGCACATACCACTGGGTCATGAAGAGCCAAGGGAAAAAAACATGCTTTCAAATTTGGTTCACTGCAAAGTTGTGGCAACATGCTTTTAGATCTTTTTAAATGAAGGGGTTATAGAAGACACACTGAATGTTAGGAATGAAAGAGAATAAAGCAAACGAAAATCCATAGTTATTCAGATTAAAACTGAAAGTGGCAGCAGCTGTACTGATGGGGCGGTTGGGTGGATAAAGCCACACTGGATGTACTTTGAGCCCTGGTGATGTATTAGTGAAAACACGTTTTTTTAAGGTTTTATCCAAAAGGATCATTTAAAAAGAAAGTAAACATAGCACATGTAATTACTTTATTTCAATACCTTTAAGTCACCTGAGTCATACTATCAACACTTGAGAAACACTGTGCCACGTCCCAGATCTAGGTCTATGCAACAGGATATTAAGCATGCATTATGACTAAGGTGGTGATGGTTCAGCTATTGATGAACTGGCCCTAGGTCTGAGGTGCTAGCTACAGGTCAGGCAATCAGCAAATCACAAGGATGTCTGTACCAGGTTTTCTAGTACCACCAAAAGTTGTGAAGTGGTGGTCCAGTCCTGCTAAATCGAGAAAGGTGAATGATGACTCAACAAAACCACCTGGGGACAGAATGTAAGACAATGATTTTCCAAAGTAAATTAAAAAAAAAAAAAAAAGCTTATTAGACTCACACAAATGAAAAAGAACTGACACACTATATAAAACTCAAGGTGTATTGAATTTACAGTACAAAAATAAAGCCTTTCACTAAATCCAAATTTCAGTACGATTTTATGTCAATTCAAGAACAAGGGAACATCCATTTGCTTGGACATCTACTATTTCTAGCTTCAGAAATCTGTATTTTCTCTTGAAGAGCCTTAGTGTTGCATATACTTTAGGGTCAGAATACATAAGCTCATAGTATTGATTCTGATTGTCAATATTGCTATGGTTCTTCCAGAGAAAAGGACGAAACTGGTTAACCTGTTCCATAATCCTGAAACCACTATGCAAATGAATTACTTAAAATAATGTAGAGTTGAAAGTAGTTGTTTAGAAACATTGCATAGATTTCCAATTCTTTAAAGAATTTTGAAAAGGATGAGAAAATCAGCCTGTGTGGAGGGAGGGAACCTTATCTTCTTACCTCCATCACCCTCTTATCCTCAAACAGTAGAAGCATCGTTTAAGTGTAACTTAATTATTTCCGCAGGATTTTTGTTTTGCAAACACAGAATAAAGAAGCAACTGTGACTTGTACTGTCCAGAAAACAAGAGTGATTTTTGAAAGCGGTTACTGTCTGCTTACCTGCGCTGTGGGTACTGGGGCTCCCGTGGAGAGCGCCTCCCCATGACCACCGGTTATGTTTCTGTTTTGGCTTCTGGCTCCTCTCCATTGTACGTCGTACAACGGCTTCATGGCGTTCCTTCAAGGGAAGAGAGGAGCTGATGATTAGATTCCACCTGGATGTCTGAGGAGTCTTCGACTTCAGGCAGAGTGGAGAGAGAGGTACTACTTAAACTTCCTAAGTCCTACACCTTAAGGTGAGAGTAATATCAACCTGGGTGAGGGGTTACTGAAATTATTAGGTGTCAGTTGATAAAGCGCTTGGCATACAGCAGGTACTTAAATAAATGACGATTACTGTTAGTACTGGGAGTGTGATGCTCCCATCAACTCACATAAGCCTGGTAGTGCAGGTCTTAGCTTAAACACATGTGGTACTGTATTTTAAAAACAGCATATGGAATCTACGGATGTGGGTAATCCTAACCCCACAACTTAATGGATTGTACGACTTTCTGTAACTTACCTATTCTGAGTCTAAATGCCCATTTTCACAAAAACTGACAACACTTACTCAAGGATTGAGCAAGAGTTAAATGAGACAATCTATGAGAAAACGTTTGTAAATGGTAAAGTCCTACAGAAATCCAATTACTGGGAGTAGTCTTAAGACTTCAGTATAGATGAAGTAAACATAAATAAGTTATAGGTCTAGACCAGAGAAATGAGCTTTTAAAGTTCCTGGGGCAACAGTGACAATCATACCATTCTCTACCTGATTTCCACACCACAACCTCCCTAGAAACTATGACTCTGTAAATCTGCTGCCTCTGAGACATTCTTGGTGTGCATGCCAGCACCTTAACGGGAAGCTTCACAGTAAACGTGCTGTGTTTCTGAAACAGACAAGCCTCCCACGTTTCCCCCAGAGCAGCATCTCACCTTGTCCTCCTCGAGCCTCTGCCTTCGCTTCTCCTCCACAGCAGCCCTCCTACGTTCCTCTTTCAGCCTCTGCTCTTCTAACTTCTTCTTCCGCTCCTCCAGGTGCTTTTCGTAGTGCTGCCTGGCTCGCTCTTCTCTCTCTAACCAGATTATTTCTCTTGCAGCTTCAGGAAGAAAAATGAGGGAAACCAAACACAGGCAGGTTTAAAAACTTAACAGTTAGGGCTGTAGAAACGGCCCACATTTAACAAACATGGATGGGGTCTTTGGTTTTAATTAACCAACCATGGCCTTTGCTTTTCTCAAATTTTCAGGAAAAAAATATTACTGTTAAATTTTTAGCATAATGTAATATGCAAACAACGAGGCCAAAGAAGATGCACTGAATTCTACTCTTTGGGAACTGGAACAGCCCTCTAGTTTGGTATATTATAACTGCAGAAGAGTGCATGCATCACATCTCAATGCTGATAGCGATGTGATGTCCTCAAACCCACAGTATCATCTGTCTCTCTCTCATTAAAACATGTGATATCCTCCAGATCAGAAGTGTGTGCCTTGGGCTTCCTTGGTGGTGCAGTGGTTAAGAATCCGCCTGCCAATGCAGGGGACATGGGTTCGAACCCTGGCCAGGGAAGATCCCACATGCCACGGAGCAACTGAGCCCATGTGCCACAACTACTGAGCCTGCACTCTAGAGCCCATGAGCCACGACTACTGAGCCCACGTGCCGCAACTACTGAAGCCTGTGTGCCTAGAGCCCGTGCTCCGCAACAAGAGAAGCCACTGCAATGAGAAGCACACGCACCGCAATGAAGAGTAGCCCCCGCTCACCGCAACGAGAGAAAGCCCGCATGCAGCAATGAAGACCCAATGCAGCCAAAAATAAATTAATTAAATAAATTTTTAAAAAATTTACGGAAAAAAAGTGTGTGACTTCATTTGTTTCAACATAGCATTGGTTCTGTAAGTGTTAAAAGGATTTGGGAGAAAATCCCAAAGATTGATAGTTGATGAAAGATATGCCTCACAGGCATATCACACCGAATCAGTAAAAGGATGTCAGGGATCAAATAAGCAGCCGACCTTGTGTCTGAAGAGTTCATAATCTATTTAGGTAAGACTTAACAAAAAAGCCGAATGAAAATATACAACTCAAAAAATATGGTTCAGTGATGGAATGCTTCCTTCTTCTTTACATATATATGCTCCTTCCTCATTTCAGGGAAAAATAAATCCCACAAAACTTTAAAAAATATGATGCTTCCTTCAGCCGTGACAGCTAAACACATTTTTAATGTGAGCTATTAACATTGTTGGCAAAAGTGTCCAAACAAGATATCAAGCATAAACCTGGAGGACACTACGGTGGTATATCAATTAAAATGTTACTTTTTTAAGGGAAAAACAATAAATTCAGAACATTTTGCTTCCTCTAAATATTTGATATTAGAGATTCTGTATTTCTGCTACCATTAAATCTTTCCAGAGCTATTCATTTCAGGAGACAAATCTACTGAAATGGATCTGAACTGGCTTGACTTTCATGGAAGGAAAAGCATGAGGACAAACCCACGGTAAGTTTGTTCTCTGACATCACTCAGGGTGGTACACAGAGATCTGGGTTTTCCCAGCAGCTCTGCTGTTAACACATAGTGAGACCTGAACAATTTCATTTGGATTTCCGTTTACTCTTGCCTAAAACATGAAGAAATTGATCTTCAAGGTTCCTTCCTTCCAATGCTAAAAGCCCATGGTTTTAAAGAAATTCTCAGGCCCAAGTTAAAAGTTTACTCAGAGAAAAAGCACATAGTATGTGCTCAATAAATATTTACTGAATGATTGAATAAATTAAAAAAATACTCTGAGAACACATATTAAAAGTAACAGATAGACAGCATTATTCACAATAGCCAAGATATGGAAGCAACCTAAGTGTCCATATCAATAGATGAATGGACAAAGAAGATGTGGTATACATAGGCCATGGAATATTACTCAGCCATAAAAAATAATGAAATCTTGCCATTTGTGACAACATGGATGGACCTAGAGAATATTATGCTAAGTGAAATAAGTCCTACCTAAACTTGGCCTTAATATCTTTATTTGGTCTTGTTCTGCATTGCTCTCCAAAACATCCTCGTCAATCTCCCTGGAGACCTTTCTCCTTACTGTACCCCCTAAATAAACCGTACTTCCCCCATCTCTTTGCTCCTGTGGTTGCCTTGCTGGGAAAGTTGCTATCCTTTTTTTTTATCCAAACAGATCCATCCTTTAAGGCAGTAGCCTCATGAAAACACAGATTGCTGGGCTCCAACCCTCATTCATTTCCACTTTTTCTAGGATGGGGCCCAGTAATCTTCATTTTAAACAAACTTCCCAGGTGATTCTGGTCCCAAGTGATTCACTGATGGCATATGGAGGAACACTGCCCTTAAGGTCTTCTCCAGAAGCTTCATCTCTTCAGGGCTCATTGCTGCTCTTATGACATCTACCACAAACTTTAGCATTTCTTATACTCTGATTTCTATGTAGCAAAGGACTACCCCCCCCCACTTTTTTTCCACTCACTATAGTGTTTTTCACAACTTGCACATAACCAAGGGTCTTACTAATTAATTACTTCCTGATTCATTGAGAACTACTTCTTGACTCATTCACCCATAACTGTCTGGTCTTAGGCAAATTACTTAACTTCCTTATGCCTCACTTCTGTCAGGGTAAATTCTGGCTACATATAGGACCTTCTCATGGGTTTACTGTGAGGATTAAAAGAATCATTACATCTAACACAGTTAGAATAGTCCTCTGCACTTTGTAAGCACTCAGTAAATATTAGCCATTATTGCTAGATTTGTCATCATCATAATTCCAATTCAGAAAATTAAAGGTAGCTCGTAACATTGTGTTATCAGTCACAACAGGGTTAGACATTATTACAACAATAATTAGTTTTATCCCAAATAATCTTTTAAAGGAAGAATATTTCTTTATCAAACTCTTGAGTTCCACTTCTAATTTTCTACCAGGACGTGGAGATCCTATTGCAGTGCCTTTTTAAACAACTGTCGTCTTTAAACAGCCATACAGAGAACAGGCAAACAATGGTGAAATAGCAAACAGCAGTTTCATATTATTGCAGAGTATGCTGCTGACTGCTAGGATTATTACCAAGTACAGATCACGCAATCTTTTAAACTGAAGGATAATGTAAAATATTTCAATATTTTAATAAGAATTGAAAGTTAACTAATTCTAGGAGGTTTGGTTATTTAAAATATTCCCTGTGGATAATAGAAAATATCAAAGTTTTGTATTTTCTCATTAAGAAATGAGACTTTTGAATGCAAGAAAAAACATCAACAATTGCTATGGAGTGAATTGTGTCCCCTCCACTGCAATTCGTATGTTGAAGCCCTAATGCTCAATGTGACTGTATTTGGAGATAGGGCCTTCAGGAGGTAATCATGGTTAAATGAGGTCATAAGGGTAGGGACCTAATCCAATAGGATTACTGTCCTTATAAAAAGAGACACCAGAGAGCTCACTCTCCCTCTCTCTTCACGCTCAGAGGAGAGACCACATGAGAACAGAGCGGCCACCTGAAAGCCAGGAAGGGAGCTCTCATCAGAAACTGAAGCCTACCATAGCCTTGATCTTGAACTTTCCAGCCTCCAGAACTGTAAGAAAATAAAGTTCTGTTGTTTAAGCCATGCAATCTATGGTAGTCTGTTATGGTGGTCTGAATAGACAAATAAAACTCATTCAGTATTTAAATCATTAACATTCACTAATTTCATAGTGGCAGCTCTATAAAAGAATAACATGTCCCAAAAAAGGACCTGTGATGAATATCATTAACCTTTACTTTTGTGAAGTTATCAGTTTCTCCTGGACTCTGAGATCATAACATAAAAATGAAATGAAAACCCACTGTGGCCCCTGGACCTTAACAACCCAGTCCCATCCCTGAGCTGCTGCCACCAGGATTATACTTCAATGACACTGTAACAGTATGTCAGTGCCACACAAAGGGGAAATTCGCCATCAATCCGAACTCTGTTTAGAAACACACAGTGACTCGTGTACTAAAAGGAGTTTGAAATGAAAGGGTATAGGATAGAGTAGAAGCTCCGGCTTCACAGGAACCTGAGTCCACCCCCCACTCCTGCCACCCCCCAGTATGTGTCACTGAGCAAGCAGTGACTTCTGTGGTCTCGTTTCCTCGAACCGTCTTCCTGAAAGGGCTGCCAGGTGGGCTCGCGGTAACATATAAAGTGCTTAAGGCAGTGCCAGGTACATGGTAGGGACTCTGTACATGTAGATAATTATAATGAGTGAATCTTTATGATCGTTATACTAACTCCTGTCTTATCGCTACAGAAAAAAGGCAGCTAAACAGAAGAACACAGATAGGACAGAGAACCAGATGGTGCACTCGTGGGCTGGGTCAACTCCCGTCCCAGTCACATTCGACCATCTAGTGCCCAGCCTGGTCCTTCTGAGCAGGCTTACAACAGTGTGGGTGAAGAACGTGTTCCACTACCGTCTGAGGGAAAGAAAATGATGACGCTCAGAGAATAGAGCAATGTTAACACTGAACCTCTGAAACACACACAGCTTAGGTTCATGCTAGGATATGGAAGGATATGAATAGGTTACTGGTAACACTGGCTACCAGAACAGCCAGTAATATCATGAAAAGTCAGAAAATGACAAGTGATAATATCTGAGTTTGGATCTTGATTCTGCCGCTAATTCTGTGTGACCTTGGAAAAATTAGCTAACCCCTCTGACTTCTAAGTTAGAGTGTGTACAGAATGTTCTCCAAGGTCTTTTTCAATTCACTCCCATGACTCAGTTGTTTTTACCTTTGAGGACATATGAGGGATTACAATTAGGTTTCTTTCTGTTTTGATTTTGAGGGCTAAAAATTTAATTTTTGTGCTTTATCTCAATAATTATTGTGATTACTTACATTCAAATAAATTTCATTTTTATGTTGGTATGAAAACACTGATTGTTTTGTGTGTGCTAAATATTAATTAAAAAAACGGCTTAACTTGGTTAATCGACCCTGGGAAGGGGTGCTGTGGACTGAAAAATAAGAGCATCTGTGTAGGAAATACTAATTAATTTTATTTAATAATGAAGAAATGGG